TAAGTAGTAGTAGGTAGTACGTATACTAGTATATATATATATATATATATATATATATATATATATATATATATATATATATATATATATATATAGATAGATATAGATACTCTTCGAACTGAAGCTTTGGTTGTTCACTATACCAAATTCCTTCCCTCCACAAAAGCGCAATCGTGTTAGCTATGTAATTTGAAGTTCGGGTATAGACAAGTATACTATACGCGTATGAACAATTGTAAGCCAGCATATGTGTGTTATGTATTCAATTGTATTTAGAGGTGCGATGTCTATATCTATAGGTCTATGCGGCTGAAAATATCAGACTGTACCTAATATCCAAATACTAGTAGAGAAATTTGAAATCATCACGGAAGTATCAGGTTTTTTAATCGTGTCATAAACATATTTATAGAATTGTGTATGTGTAGCTATTCACCATAGTATTCTGAGTCTATTCTCATATACGTTCACACTGGTATATTCGTCTGTGAAATCGCATATTCTAATTGTTATTCTCATTTTGGAATATCGGTGTTGCAGTTCTAGATTGTAGATCACGCGGAAAGCATCAACAGATGTAATAGAATATTGAATTTTAACAGTTAGTAGTTCACTTCACTTCAATATACACACGTAAATATTTACACCTTACGAAAACGGTCGGTTACGATTATGTCTGCTGATATATACAATTTTTTATTAAGCGCATTTACAAAGGTATTCATCTGTGTATTTATTAATTTATTGCGTGCAAAATTTAATTTGTTCTTTAAATATACTGTCAGTGTGTGTTTTATGTTCGTGTTCAATTTTTGTGTGCGAGTGTGTGTGTATTTGCGGCATATATAGTACATACATATATGTATGGGTCAAATTGAAGCTCGCAGATTAATTTATACGCATGCATGTTGGTGCATGAAGATATGTATCAATGTTTGGAAGTATTTATAGTGTATGTATACATGTATATCCATGTTCTGTATATATTTTGGTTGTGTATATTAACATGCATACGTAATAAGAATAACGCAAACAACTCTTGTTATTATGTTTCAAATAGCCAGAACAGACGCGTACGTGCTTCAGACGACATTCTTGTTTCATACACCGATACTATATATATATACCAAAATTGACACTCGCCAGTATTTTCTATTTGGTCACAGAATCGCCAGCTTTGTCTCTCTATTTGAGGACCCCAAAGACACACCCGCGCCCACAGTAGGGGAAGACCCCGAGGCTAAGCTTAAGCGTTTGCGCGATGAGAAGAAAGAAAAGAACGAGAAACGCATCGCCGAGGAGATCGCGAATTGTATGTGTAGTAGAAAGAGCCGAATGGTGTGGGTGTGTATGTCTTCATGGTTTTCTCAATGGACAGGAAATTACACGTCACTATACCGACTTCATTGCTTTTGTCACTCATGTAGCGATAACTCTATGTAGATGCACCAATTTTTTTATTATGCATATTTTAGGAAAGAATCTGAATGCTCATGTAGAATTGAATTTTTTATCTATGTGGAATATATGTTTATTATTGTTTGTAGGAAATTCATGTGTATGAGATCGTGCGTTATACATGTACAACTATTCTGTACACTTTTGTCTAGCTTGGTTACTTCCTATTTGCATAAGTATTTATCGGGTTTGGAATAGCTATGATTGTATAAGTCACATTGTGGTTTCGATTTTTGTGATACTTCTTTCTTTACGAATTTCAAAATGATGAGTTTAACACGGTTTGTATTCCTATCCGAGAACCAGTTTATATCTCAGCCGTCTTCGATTCTCACTCATTAAATGCAACTATTCTCACAGGGAATCCCAAGGAAGAGAATAAAGATGTGAAGACATTGGATGCTTTTAAAACTTTGTTCGTTGCTAAACTGGTGAGTTTAATGCTTCTTTTATCATACTGCACTCTTTTTGGAGTATTGTATATCTCTTCAGTGTATTCGAATTGTCAGTTTAACTTCGACATTGTTTCGTACGCCACGAGAATCGTGTTGTTGTGCATAGTGTTTTGTGCTGGATCAATTTATGTATTGTATATTTATTCTATTATTGAGCATGAGCATACCCATCGCTAGTCTTGCGAGACGTCTGTTCCGGTTCCTCCAGCTTTCAGGTTTCGATTCCAGTCTAGAAGAATATAATGACAAATCGTCTTCACTTTTAAGAAAGATACCTTGCGCCCTTTACGCGTTATGAAATTCGCACTCAGGTGTGGCCGTTATTACATTTTTATACCTTTTAAACTGCGTCTGACACATTGCTTGGCATCATTTTGGCATCTCCACAGAATTACACAACATCGGACTACACACTAAGGCGCGAGTTTGAGCAGTACGGTGAAATTGCAAAGGTGGTCGTCACAAAGAGTGCCATCGATCACAAGCCCAGGGGATACGCCTTTATCGAATTTGTGAAGGAGAGCGATATGCGAAGTAAGCTATTTGTAGGTGTATGCTCAGTATGTATCGTTCTTACACTCCCACCTCGGAATCAATTCTCCGGTTTCTTATCCGTGTTGACCCTACAATCTGAACTATGCATGCACGCCGTACGCGGTTGATGCGCGATACATTGTTTTAGAGATGTGTTATCAATCCCGGATGTCTGAACCTACATATTTAGTAACATTCTTCTACGACCAGGAATATACTGGTATTTGACGCGAAGACATCCATTGGGTAGTCATATCAATGCGAAGGCACACTTGTACAGCTTTGAATACTTATCTACCCTCGCTCTGATTATCAAATACATGCAAAACGTACACGTATGATCACCCCACTCTCCTCCGCATATATCAACACCTCGATTTTACAAGCGCATATACTCAGCCCCCACTTCTCTGCACGTCATGTCTTTTAGGTGCATACAAACGCGCCGATGGCATGAAGATCGATGGACGCCGTGTAGCTGTCGATGTGGAAAGAGGCCGTACCGTCAAAGGATGGAAGCCCAGACGCTTTGGCGGTGGTCTTGGGGGTCGAAAGGTTGTCAGTGGCCCACCTCGACCTGTGGCCAGAGAGGAAAGCAGAGCCCCGTCTTCGTAAGTTCAATCTAAATTGACCGTTATCGTTTGTGTGTATGACTGAGGGGGTTGGGTTTCTTTAACGGGATTACCTGCATATGTACGTAGCCTGGCGATTGCAGAGCCTCGTCTTCATGTTCAATATAGTTTGGCTGTAGCAAGTTCATGACTGGTTCTTTCTTACGATGTGGCCTGTGCATGTACATAATAGCCTGGCGATAGCAGTGCCTCGTTTTTGTAGGTTCAACTCGATTTGAATGTAACTATTTGCACAACTGGGCTGCTGTCTATGTATGTGCGATGGTATCGCGTATAAAATTTATATACCTGTATGTGTATACCTTACTATTTTCCTATGCAAAAAGACTTCAGACTGTGAAGGGTATGTGTTCGTGTTCAAGCAAGTGCATCTATTTAGGTATGACAGTATGAACAAGAACGGTCCGCCCATTGTCATATCCTATGCTCTTTCTGTATTTCCCTTCAAAACCATTTTGCCATCGTGTTTGTGTTTGTATTCGCTTCGGATATGTCATTAGCGGCTTGCACTCACCTCCAGATAACAATTAATGGGGCTCTATCGCATAACTTCCAACTTGCTTTGTATTGACTATTTGCTGTCACAACTTATATTTGCATCACAACACCATAGGTACGACTACAGAGGTGGGAGCGGTGGCTACAGCCGCGACAGTGACCGTGGGAAGGGTGGGGGTGACTCGTACCGATCATCACGTGGGGGTGGCAGTAGCTACGGCGGCGGTGCCGATGACCCTAATAAAGCCCCCATTGGTGCTCGTAGAGGCCGCGATGACGATAGAGGCGACAGAGATAGGGATTCAAGGCGGGATTCGCGCAGAGATGATCGCTCGAGGGACGACCGGGGTAGGAGTGAGAGATCGGATAGATATGAAAGGTCGCGATCGCCGCGCAGAAGATAAATATTATGTATATGTATACATAGAGAGCAAAATTGTGTAAGTGGTTTACTGCCTCGGATTTTTGCAGTAGACGATGGGTATTAGCCGGTAGTAGACAGATGAAGCTGCATCTGACAGAATATACTGGTTTTGATCATGATACGAATAGCTTCCTTTTCAGGAAGATTTCAGCTGTATGACTCCCTGATTTTCAGCATTGGCTTTGCGCATGCTCGCATGTGACAAGGATTTATTGTATGCCTTTTCGCTTCAAACATCCCTGGCACATATACATACCTAGCCAAGAAAAGTACCTCTCTGTGTGAGCCTGAAACCTGTAGTTTCGGGATCAAGGTGGCATAAACCGCTGGTGCATGCGGTCACCTGGTAGGTATCTACACGTGCATGTACGCATAGAGATAAATTCTTGTTGTCCATTGTACGCTGAAATCAAAATATACTACCCACCAAGGTACTTGAAAAAAAAATGTATGCTGGTCATGGTAAGCGTTTCGAAAGAAATATGTATAGCGATAAAGTTTTAGGTATCCTTTAACCGACGAGTATTGGCAGGTATGAGAGAACTACTGTTCCTAGTCCATCTAAGTTGCTTGGTTCGGCCCAAATTCACATATAGGCTAAATTGGTATCGTCTGAAAGGCCTTTACCGACTCCAATTTGATTGAAGCCGATGGGAGAGATTGAAGGTAAACCCTACATCAATTTCAATGATATTGTTGCGAAATTTCGATACCTTTCACGCGGTCTGCTTCTATCTAATTGAACAGACAGATGTTTTAATTTTAGTCTAGTAAAAACTTAAATCCAGAAAATAACAGGTATGTGTTGTTCGCAATGGAAATTTTTGTATATTCATATCCGAACGAATATTGCGCACACCTAGCGCGGATAAGGATGTATTGGGCAGGCAGGAAACATTAGAAGTCTTGGTGCGGCGAACTGCAATCCATCATATATGCAATGAGCGGTGATACATACGTACTTATACTTGACCAGTACTATGAACGGAAGACACTTGCTTGGTATAGTAAATGATTAGTAATTTACTTTTTTTTGCACAAACACACCATTTGTATGTAGCTCTACTAGGCAATTCACAAATACGCCTGTGTGTACACATAGTTCGTTTGCAGGCACGGTCATCATTGTCAAGATGTGAATGCATGGCTTATGGTGAATACATGCCTGAGTGAAAATTTTGTTGCGTTTGTATCTGTTCTTAGATGGGTATAACAGCCCTCAAGTGGCTTGCTAGGCGAGCGCTGGATATGGCCGACGACACTTTCCATTTCTGGTTCTGGTAAGCCATTATAAAACTCAACCAACCGGGTATGTACACGCGCTTGTGTATAGATAGACTAGGTGGCTGTTCCCTTCTGCGAACTGATTTTCAGTTCCAGAATGAAATTGGTGAGGTGACAAACTATTGATCTTTGGTGTATAGGAAAGGGACCCGGAAACAATCGAAACATCGATAGTAGTGATTGATGATAGCGTGTGCAGACGGTCCTATCTAGTAACTATCCCTGTGGTCTGAATTTTCTCGAGCCCAGGGAGGTATTTATTCTGGTTCAGGTGTAATTCATATTAAATGAATGTATTCCTAATCAACGTCTCATTACTTGTTCATTATACTGCTTGCTAGAGGGTATTAAGCCCACTGTACAAGTGAAAATATCTATATCATCTGGTTTATGATAATATCTTCCATATTCCCTGACAACCCAAACAGTGATTTTAAATTTCAGTGTGCTTTCTATCTCGAGCGGAAATTTCAATAAAGTATCGGGACCCGGGCACGTCATACCTGGAATGAAGATATCAGCACTTTGTTATTGCATATACCTCTAAAGGGCTGTGCCATTTTGGACACCTCATGCTTGATCTTTAACATGATTATAGCATCAAGAATGTCCTCCCGCATTTTGATTGGAAATGTATACTGATTTGAATACATTGTGGACACTCATCCAAATACGTGCTTTGAGACCTCTGCTTTGGGGGTATGTGCTCCCGCTTAGGTATTAGGTGCAAGACCATCCAGGAATATATTCATATGCGTACAGGGGTATCGTCTGTCTATGAGGGTATGGATGGATAATACAAGTCTCGTGCCTACACTCAGTGCCAGAATTTTATCAGCTGCCCGAGATTCAGGGCTTTGACATTGCACATCAACATACATTTATACCACGCATTTATAAATATGTAGGTAATGTTCGGACTCGGATTTACATGGCTATCAGTATACATTAATCAAATGGTAGAAATTCTCTGAGCTACCGCAAAAATCCAGGATATGTTTTATTAAGCGACAGCATCTGTGTACACGCCGCAACGGGGATTCATCCTTTCTACGCTCTTCAGACAAGTATAGACATGCAAGTACATATCAAATATGCGCAAAATCTGACAATTGCACAGCAAACGTTTATTCAGCTGCTCCGAAATCCAGGCCTTGGGAAGCTGTCCCAATGCGTGCGAGCATGTGTTCGCCGGCCGCAATTGGAGGGTACTTGGCTTTCTCGGTGGTGAGGCATTTGATTTGTGTGTCGAAGTTGCAGCAGCGGAAGTACGCAATGGACGCCCTTGGTTTACTTGGTGGGATAACACGGTGCACTGCAGTATAGTAGTGGTTGGGCTTTTAAAGTACATATCTTTGATCAGATCGATATAGTGATACGCATACGGAACTTGGTCTTTTCGTTAAAAATTGAGAGTATTTGTAAACAAAAAATATACAAGAACTACTTTTGTGACATATATATATATGTCTCTCTCTCTCTCTCTCTCTTATATCTCTATATCTCTATATATCCACCTATATATATATATATATATATATATATATATATATATATATAAGACGTACGGACGGACGGACGACGACGACGACGACGACGTACGACGTAACGTAACGTAACGTAACG